AAAACAGAGTCAGACAAATTGATACTAGCAAAACAGAATTTATTTGCATAATCAGACTAACAATGATTAATCTCACTATTCATACAGACTGACATTCTGAGTGAAAAGGAAAGAGAGAAAAGAATTTATAGAGGGTATAGCTTTGGTTAAATAACATGCCACTACACTGATTTGAAAGGCTCCTGTAACATGATATCTTAAATAAAGAGAAGAAATAAGGCTCTAGAATTCCCTGAACAAGACAAAAGGGCAAATTATAATGAACAGACCCAACCTAGTGGTCATACAGTAGATGCCACTCATGCTGTGGGAAATGATTCGAATTAGTCCTGCCAATTGCTCTGGCAGACCTCCGCCTTCTCGTGTAACAGCCAACACATTTTAGTGGACTCACAGACAACATGACAGACTGTGGATTCTTACTGTGATCGGCCTGCGTGTCAAACCACAGGCACAAAAGCATAGAGTCTGTTAACGCACGCTGGTAATCCACAGTTGCATAGTTGCAGGAACGTCACAAGCAAACGGCATACTGTCCGCCGGCTTGTGCACTGCTCAACATTCATCCGTTTCCCAATACAGTAATCACAGCAAATATGTCCAAGTATCTGCGCCACGCCTTCGCCTCTTCATCCCCAAACAAGTGGTTAGGAAACACATTCGCCAAGCACATTCCAGACGATGTAGCTGCATTGAATATTTACAGAAACCCTCCCAGGAGTTAGTCCGAAACAGTAACGATAGTGAAAGAGATACAAACAACGTGGCTCCACCTGTGCGAGACGAGCTTAATTTTTTGCCCAGTGAAAAGACGAGGAATGATCAGACAGCGCAGAATGTCGGGACAGCCATTTGTGGACATTCTAGGTGAAAAATTAGGATTTTATACATGTTTTGGTTTTACAGACGAGGATACAGACAGTGTAAAGATAACTGTGGACACTGAAAGTGATTAAAGATTGGCTTCTCCTTTAAAGAAAAAGTAGCTGTGTAACATGGTTTCCAC